TCTTTCATTTGGCCGTTCAGGACCATGGCTGCACTGCTGCAACATGGGGAGGTATGTGTATTCTAAGGTGAACACCACTTGCGTGTGCGACATTAGACAGCGTTATAAATGTTGGAGTGAAGTTAAAGAGAAGAGAGCAGGTGAGGTTGATAAAATATTAGATAAGTAAGCAGAGCTTCAAGTAAAAAATATGATAATGGCCAAAAGTGGATTGATACTGGAACCGCGTCTTTCCAGCAAGTTAATCCATTCCGCTTCTTTTCAACTATTACTTCTTCCTACACTGCTCACTCCCCACAATTAAATTATCTATTCATTTACTTCCGTTCAGCAGACGTCTGGAATCTGGGAGAAGAAACAACTCCCACTGAAAATCCCACAAGCACGCTTATTGTGCTCTTACACTCATAAAACTGACACAGTTGCATTGCTGCTCAGTCTATCATAATTATCCCTTGTCCTGTATTGCTGATGTGGTTACAGTATCAGCACCCCACTACATCGTTGTGTGTACGCCATGTGTGGATAATCTCTATCAGTGGAAGGATCCATTAACAGACCCAAGACAGCTGGATATTTTTTTTCACATCATCATTACGCGTTCCCTGACTCTGAGCAATGTCCATATGCTTCGTGATGTTTTTCTCGGGTAATCAAGTGACTCTCCTCCTTTTCTTTTCACTTTGATGACGGATCTTTTGATGCTGTTCTGCATCGTGGTGTTTACGTGCCTTGGCTTTCAACTCTGGTCAAGGAGCTAAATCAGATATGCAGATGGTATTGGACTTCCCTATTGATGGGATGTCAGACCAACTGTGGAGGAATTGGAAGAGCCAAGGAGCCAGGCCTGAGTATATAGAAAGCTCCTTTACATAGCTGATTATCAGCTGTAAAACAACAACAAAGTAACCACTCTGTTACTCTTCCTTTATTAAAATGCATACATGTTATTATTCTAAAGTCTTGTAATGTTGTGTTGAAAAACAGGAAGTTAAGGTTGATGTCCTTGTCGTTTATCAAACCCTTTTATGTTTAAGTAAAACTACAGGAAGGGAGCGTACTTAGTAACGGATACTGGCAAAAAAAGCACATCTATCTGGTGTGTCAAAGCATGAGTTACTTATCAAATTCCTAGTGAATAGTGAAATCGATTGCTGAAATGTATTTGTGCAAATTCTCCTATACACTTTCTAATCTTAGTCGACATGATAGATCTCTTATGAAAAACAACTTAGAATTATTTTCCCATTTATTTTGCACAATCCAGCCATTTACACTTGTCAAACGGTATATTATCTCAGTATTGAAAGATGTACCAGGTGACAATTTGTGGATGAAAGTGCAGGCATTTTATTGATCGTCCAACCCAGTTTCTCTGAGCGTATGCGGATCCCTTCTTTCCGTTTGGTTTCTGTTCCTGTTTGAGTCAGTCCAGCGCAGAGTAAGATTGTCTCCAATTGCTATCATGAAATTAGTGCCGCCCAGAATATTATAGTATGGAAAACAATAGTTGGCTTAGGTCTCACCAACCAGAAGTATACGTGTATTCAGAAAGAGCATTTATGTCTCGACATTGCAGAGCGAGAGATGTGTCGTCTCTTGCCACACAGGTTTATTCTCCATCTCGCCATATTGTTCTGCACTTATGTTTAATGCATTTATATGCTTGTTTTGCTACATCATTGGAGTCAAACCAGCTTTCGGCGACTCTCGACAGCACCACACCACCACACACAGCACACATGCCCAGCTGGATACAGGAAGAGAGCGATTATAGGAAGAGTTGCGAGGTGCTAAGGCTCTACCCTTTTCTCTAGCAACTGCGTCTAGTCTGTTGGAACGCCTCTGTGGCCCTGCTACTCCTACTCCGACTCCACTTGTCCCGCGGTTCAGGTATTTGTGGAAAATGCAGCTTGCCGCACCACCTTTCACTCCTCTGTGTGATCGGCGATGTATGTTATTCCTGTTCCTTCTCACGCGGCGCTCAGGTTGTTTTCCATGAGCCGTTATGGTGGGTGTCATGACAGCCACACCACGTAGAGATTACATAACGGACCGAATAGAAATTGGCAGCTTAGGAATATATATTTGCTGATTTATTTCTTTTTCTATTCTATATTCTTATCTAATTTATTCTACAATATATATATACATGGCACTTTCTTTGGCGTTCTCTTACATATATTTTTTTTATTTTCTTACTTCTTTCATCTCATCTCTGCTCCTTTTTATTTTTATCTTCTTTTTTCTTCCTGCTATTTAAATTCAGATAAAGCATCTATATATTTTTATTTACATATTTCTCTTTAATTCTTCTGGCGATGCATTTAAGAGACTAATTACGAAGATGTAAGGGTGTATACAAATAGTTTCTCTTTATCTTTTTGTACATGTCAGCTGTGTTTTGGCATCTATGTGTGTTTGCAAATGAGTGGGCATACTTATATCATGCCCATTTACACAGCAGGCCAGCCATGCCTTAGGCATCTTCTATTCCTAAATTTGTGTTGAAAAAGGAAGGGAAGATAACAAAGCGTTCACGGTGGCATTACACCACACTTGAGCATATGCATGTTTGTAACACGTCTTTCATCTGCTGCTGCGCGACAGCTGCTCAAAGTGAGGCAGCAGGGTTTCACTCTTCACGAACGTAACTTGTCTCTGTTCTGTTCCCCCTGTTCTCGCTCCCACATTCGATCTAATAGTAGTCCCAGAATTCACCTATCGCTCTATATTTACATCTTGCTAGATAACAGAATCAGGGTAGGAACAGGAGCCACCGAAACAGCATAATTAAAATAAACTTGGGGTGGAAAAGACAGCGATTCTGAGGGAATAGTAGTATGGTAGTATAGGTATATAGGTAGTAGTATTATAATATATAATGGGTGGGTGTTGTTATAGCTTTATTTTTAGAGGGTGGAAGGTAAGTTGTACAAAATTTACGGTGATTCCCCGGCGTGTGTTTAGGTGACTATATTAACTGTGACAGGTGACCCATGTTTCCAGCCAACTGGCAAAGGGCAATATTAGGTGGTTGGCTGGTCACCAGAACGGCTGAATGATGTGAATTCAGCAGCTCATAACTGTTGATGTATATATGTGAGTATAGTATTTTTCTTTTACAGTTAATATGATAGTATATCTATATATACTATTCTCCTATTTCTATATCTCCTCCTTTCTTCTCTCTCTCCCCTGATGATTTTATTATTACTGTTGTCTTCTGTTGAGTGTGGTATGGTGTATCTGTATAATTTTTTGTATGTGGTGGTGGCTCTCCTATGTGTAGTGTGATATGTAGGTCGCGTGTGGGCATTATTGAGTTGTGTTGAGGGAGGGGTTGTGTATGTTCCTTATGTCTTTTGTGATTTTTTTGTGAAAGTTGTGTAGGCTGTTGTGTGGTGTTGGGAGTTGTATTTTATAATAGTTTATTGTATTATCAAACGTATTATTTTTATTATATTATCATTGTATTGAATTCACAGTTTCATTGAGTTTCATCAGATATAGTATAATTAAGTTATGTCTCTTTGCCTTTTTGTTATTCATTATTTCCTCCTGTAGTGTGGCTTCTTTGTGTTGGTTTGTGTGTCATATATGTTGTGTGTTTTGGGTTTGTTGGTGGGGGTGTTGGTTGAGTGAGCATTGCTTGACTTATGTGGCTGTGTATGTCTAGTGTGTATTTATGTGTGTTGTTGTAGATCGCTTGTCTCATCTTCTTTATTTTTCTCATTATATATATTACTATTATCTATCATGCATGTTCATATCCTCTCCTGGTGTTTGATGATGTGTGGTTTTGTGTATGTGTGGTGGTGTGTGTTTT